TCCAAGAGCTCTATTTCACCTCACAAGGATTCCATGGTACAGTCTGCAAACTACCCAAGTTGTGTGACCACAGGCAGATCTCAGTAGCAGGTGCTTTTATTCGGGCCCATTTGCTTCTTCTCCTATAATATCAGGGGTGTCAGTGTTTATTATACTCATTATTTTCAGGTGCCAGGTGAAAAGAGATTTTGGTGAGCACTGAGCAAAATGCATGGCTCTCACCTGCTGTCATCCCTCCCTAAATGAACAGTCACTTGGACAAACTGGCTTTAGCAGAGCCAGACCTTTTTCTAGCAGCCAGAGAACAGTCTGTAATGGGGAAATTACTCAGCCCATGCATCTCTCCAAGGGAAAACATTCTTTAGCTTGTCAAGACAGTGCAACCTCTTAGAAGAAGCAATAGCAAAGTCGATTTCTCCATTCTTGTCACTAAGGGACTTAGGACATACCTCACTGTAAAACCAAAATTAACAGCCCACTGGGAAGAGAAGTTGAGCCCACTGGAAATGGGCAGAGACATGTGAGACAGTGAACTCAAACAGAAGCTGAGCCCAGCCTGGGCACTTAGCTATTTCAAGCCCATCACCTGCTTTTCCTCAGGATCCTTTGATCATAAAAACTCTTCACTAGGTAGAGTAATAATAGTGCCAACACTCATCATCCGATGCTCAGAGAGAGACTTTTCTATTTCTCTCCTTTTTTATTTATCTAATGATTTCCAGTTTTAACCAGCACTGTGAGGGAGCCCGGAAAGCCAGAAGAACACTTGGCAGGATCCTTCTGAGTGAAAGAAAAGCTTAGATCTTTAAGTACAAAGTACAGGTTGGTCCTGAGTAGCACCATGCTCATTGCATTCACTCTTCCAAGATGTGGATGGAGACAAATGCATACGTGTTCTGAAGTTGAATTTTCAGGGGAAGGGAATGGTGTGCAAGTCATGTGACCCCTGGCACCCCTGAGAATGGAGCCTCCTTAAAGAAAATTCCAAGAAGATCTTTCTTATTCTCCACGGTCATCCAGTCCTTCTGCTCCACTGAACCAACAGTGGATTTCCAAGTCTTGCACCTCACCAAGTCTATTATGCCACTCATTATTAAAAAAATTGCTATTTCTGGTACCAATGAGAAAGAAAACTTGCTACTAATTAAACTGTGAAAACTATGGAGAAAGACCCAATGCTCCTTCTGGCCAACTGTCTTGTTTCTCTCCCAGGATGCCTTTTCTCTGACTTGCTCTGTCTTAAATTTTCTTCAAGTCACATCTCGCCCAGCACTTGACTGTTACTTGCTATTGTCCATTCAGTTAATGTAAATTTGGAATCTATATCGTGATCTCACTGTGGACAGGGCTCACATGCTATTTGTCTGGGGTCCATCAGAGCCTCGCACAGCTTCTGGCCAAGAACAGGTGCTCAGTAACTCTGCGTTGAATGTGCATGTCCTTTGTTAAAGCCCATCTTGGACGACTTCCCTGATGCCTAGGAAATATTTGTGTGGCTTTTGCCTCAATGAAAAGGAAAAGACAGCAACTGGCAGAATTTTCCAGTGATACACTAGCCATCCATAGGTTTTCTTTTTTCATTGATTTGAGAAAGAAAGACAGTGATTTGTTGTTCCACTTATTTATGCATTCATTGGTTGCTTCTTGAATGTGCCCTCATCAGGGTCAAACCCACAACCTTAGCATATGGGAACAATGTTCTAACACACTGAGCTACCCAGCCAGGGCACCTTCTATGGGTTTTTGTTTTTGTTTTTTTTTGCTCATGCACATCTCCATAGAGAGGCGATCCCATTCTCCAGAAGAATAGAGGATATTTCCAAGATTGTCATCTCACTCATCCATTCAGTGAACATGTCCTGAGCTCAGGTATCAAGCTCAGGCGGAGCTAAGCCCTGGAGTGGATGAGTAAGTCACTGACTTTGCCCTCCAGGAAGGCCATGTCTGGAAGGGAGGATGTCAGAGTAGCACTTAGCACCAGTCCTAGGTAGTCAGGATGAAACACTGAGCAATGGAGGAGATGATGAGGTTTCCACTGGAGTTTGAGGAGGATCTTGAATGACCAGGCAAAGACAGGGAGGGTCAAAAACAGCACAAAAATATACAGAGGCTTTCAGTAGGTTGGGCAAGATTACAGTGAGGTCCCTCCAGTGTATGGGGCTCTTCTCAGTGGAGTGACATTTGCTTAAGTTTGGCCCTTCCAAACATTTGTCACCACAAAGACTGGTCAGTTGGGGGAACTGAGGCAGCACAACAATCCACAATTATCTCTGTGTGCTCCTTTGTCACTTCATCTGAATAAGAAAATGCCATCAAGTCTATATTCACCCAAGAGGCTCCCAGGCCCCGTTCATTTGAAAAATAGTCACCCCGACTCATGTGTCTGGAACGATCTGGGGCACATCCTGAATGCTCCATTCTGCCTCAGCCATGTAAACCACCCAGGCTACTTGTCATTTGCTTCTTTCCTTTGAAGGTGCATGCTGAAAATGTTCTGATCATCGAAAACTGCAGCAAGCCAGGTCTGGAGTCATTGTGGTTTTCCACCATATTTAAAAAGGCATGGAAAATCGTGAAAGCCACAGACTAGGTCTCAGGCAGGATTCGCAGTGGCATCTCCTCTGCATGGTGTCTGCGCCAAGTCTCCAATTTTCATTCTCAAATCCTCATTCCTGCGGTGCTTCAAGTCTGTGCTGGGTGTCCAATGCTGCAGCTCACCGACGAGACGCCATAGGAAATAATGGCTGTGCAAGATCTCAACCCTGTCCCCACAACATTCTTCTGTGACTCTGAGCGGCACATCGGGGCCATTTGCTGTAGACTCAGCAGGAAAGGGCCCTGCCTGTTTCACCCCAAAGCGAGGGGGGCAGCCACATCCTGTAATGAGACTGGAACAGAGAGTAAGTGGTGCTGCTGCCAGTGAGACGGCTGAGCCAGAACTCATCAGCAGGTGCACCTCTCACAGGTGCACTCCTGGGGAGACCCCCAGCCACAGACCGGAAACGTCGCTCAGGTGGCCGCTTCTCCCGTTAGCTGGCTTCAAGTCAGCAAATATCTGTTGCCCAGCCCCCGCCACTGCTCCAGAGCTGGCCCTGTGTCAGGAAGTCAGAGTTAGAGGAAGACCCCATTTCCACCCTTGAGGGATGGATGGTCTAACTCTAAACTCTGAAACATGAACTCCCAGAAGGGGAGGTAACTTGTTCTAAGCCACTCCGTTTGTAAGTGACTGAGCCAGAATTAGAATCCAAGTTGTTGTTGTTTCTAATTTAAAAACGAACCCTCCCCCCTTCCTGCCATACCACACTGCAAACTCCTATCGCACTGCAATATAATTATTTATCATTGCTTTTCAACTGCTGTTCAAACTCGTTTAGCCCCTCCTAACTTAACAGGCAATTAGCAGAGACACAAGTCAGGCTGTGGAAGTATATTATCAGCACTGAACATAGTCACATATATTAAATACACTTTGTGTATTTAAAATAAAAGTAAAATTGGTTTATCTCTAAGTGATTAGAATGATATTTATCTTTTTATGCTGTTCTATATTTTTTAATGTTCTAAAATGAGATTGCATCCCATCTATAATTTTTAAAGATTATTTTAAGAAGAAAATAAAATATATGTGAAAGCACTTTCTAAACCATAAAGTGCCAGAAAGTATCAACTATGAAATTCATTGCAAGGCAATAAACTGCTCAATGCATGGATTAGGTCAAAGCACATCTCATCGGCCTTGACAGTTGATGGTGACATATGCCCCAGCAAGGAGCTGTTCTCAGAGATGTCGGGCAGTGGTTGCCAGGGTCGCACCACCCCGACCAGCTGAGCCCAGCCCTGCTCAGCCTCCCCCAAGAGCTCAGAACACTGGTGCCACAGCCCTGTCAGGTGCCGCTGTGTCTAGGAAGGTGCAGGCCTCCCAGTCTCTGCTGGCAAGCCCTCATTTGGCGGAAGGTTTTCTTTCTTTCTGCCTGGCCGTGCCCAGTGGTACTATTCACATCTGTTAGCTGCCACTTTTCTCAAGGAGTCCTGGTGGAAATTTGGCTTTAATGACACCTTGCATGTGAATGTGGGTCCCCAGCTCCTCGAGCAGATGGATAATAGTGAGCTTACCTCTGAGCCGGGCACCCTGGAACTTCATCTTGGATTCAAGCTTTCGTTCGCCTCCTTGGAGACCAGGCTTGGCTAATAAGTGCTCTTCTTCTTATCTCAGAGAGGCCAGCGGCCTCCCCATGCGGACTTACTGGTGCTTGACTGACCAACCCCTTGGATAGAGAAGTAAGAGTCCCCTCCCTCTGGGCTTCCCCAGCAGTTCGGGAGATTAAGGCTTGTGATAGAACCTTCTAGGAAGTTCAACCTAACAATTCTAAGCCTTCACATTTATCATATATCAAGGTTGCCGAAGGCACATATTTCTACCTTAATCCATGGTTCCTTCTAGACACTCATTATTTAAGTACATACCTTCAAGCAGTGTGCTCTGTAGCAGTGAGGTCAAATAATGTTTTACAGTAGCTTTATGATTTTAAAGGCACATTCAGTTGCACTGTAATCCTCATAGTAGCCTTGTGGGAAACATATTATTATGTACTTTGCAGTGAGGGAACCAAAGCTTAGCAAGGCTGGATGGTAAGTCTGAGATTAAAGTGCAAGGCTCGATCTTTGCACGGTCTCCTTTAAATGACATCTTTCTCTCACGTGACCAAAAAAGAAGCAGAAATAAAGCAAGACTCATTGACTTCCCCAAGGTCACATAGTTCACAGGTGGCAAAACTGGGCTGACAACCAGTCTTCTGACCCCAAACCCATGATCTTACCACACTTCGCATTTCACTACAGATCACAGCAAATTATGCCCACAGTACAGTTTCAAAGGTGAATGGCAAACTAAAGCTCTCTGTTTTGGGAAGGTCGGAATGCACACATTTCCCCTTTCCTTCCTAGGACTGTCCAGCACAGTTTTCCGAGAGATGCTGTTGACATGGTCTTCTCTCCTACAGGGTGTGTGATGGTGGTGTCAGTGATTGAACAGCTGGCACAAGTTCACAACTCCACGGTCCAGGCCTCCATGGAGAGACTGTGCAGCTACCTGCCTGGTAAGGATGGAAAGGGTCGTGGGTCGGGGGGGGCGCTCCCTCTCTTCCTTGCTCATGAGTCACCCTGAGCAAGTTTACAACCGGCCAAGCCTTATGGAGGGGCATCTGATTGTGTTATTTCTATACATTGGTATTCTGTTGGGGTCCTATAAATTAAAACAAACGCAAGAAAATCACTGCAGGCAGGTTTCTCCTCTGACAATCCTTTCCCACCGTGGCAGAATAATGATGGTCATTCATGGTCATCATGATCAAAATAATGAACAATTTTAATAATTTATGTTAAGTTGACCATGTGCACAGACCCAACACAAAACTTTGGGCTGAGAATACGACTGATCTCCAAACCCCAAATAGGAAATAACCAGACAATGTTCCAGTGATTTGAACTGGATCTCGGGAAAATCCTTGCGTATTCTGCAAAAGAAGGATCTAATTGGTGGTTTAAACGAGTCATGCATTTTTGGTTCAATCTCAACAGAAAGAAAATATTCTTCTATCCCTTAAGGGTACTGTTAGGTGACTAGTCACAATGAATGAACTTCCACGGGAGTCCAATGTTCATTTATTCATATTAAGGGACTAACTCATGGAGGATGCCCACTCTCCTTTTTCTAAGCAAGGCTGTCGGGCTAAAGGTGATTGTGTCTTTGATGCATAGCTCACGCTGCGCTGAGAGCACCTAAGCACTTTCAGAGAACACAGTACATGCAGCTACGAAGCCAATTTCTTTTACTGTATTTTTTCTTTTGATTTAATTTTTATTGTATTTTTTCCACAAAGCCAATTTTTTTAATTCAAAAATAGAGGCTGGGAGAGGGCACTACACAAACACGTGTGTTTACCAAATCCCAGATTCTCCATTGCCAAGATGTTGACATATTTATGCCAGGTCCTTCTTTGGTTGAGTTAGGATGACCTTCAAATGCCCCTTGGCTTCCCCTACTGCCAGTTCCATTTTCCTACCTCTCTACAGAGACCCACACTCATGAACTGAACGGGTATTGTTCTTATTGGGCCTGTACTTTTACATTCACTGTGTGAACCCATACCCAATGTATAGTGTTCTTCTGTGCTTGGTTCTTTTAACCTTTTCTTGGTAAACCAAATGTAGAAAATGAACAAATGACACAAAATAAATGAATACTTTTAACACCTTGTAAACATAGCTCAGGTCAAGAAGGAACACAGAGGTAGCGCCTCTAGAAGGCCCATCCACACACCCCATCCCATCATATGTCCTCCATCCGCCTAAAAGGACAATGTCCTGGATTTTGCTACAGTCATTTCCTTGCATCGTAGTATAGCACTATCACCCAAGAGGACATTCCCAGACACCACAGTCTTGACCAGCTTTAAAATTTTTGACATCTATTTTCATCTACAATGGTCCTCTCCGCCCCTCCCTTTTCCTTGTAATTCAGCTGTGGACTGTGCCTCAAGGAGTTTCCCTAGGTTTTCCGGATTGCATCCCTGTGGTATAATTGAGTATATTTCTCTGTGCTCCGGAGTTCCTGAAAATTGGCAGCTGTGTCCAGAGGCTTGATCAGGCTCCAGTGTGATTTCTTTGGCAAGACTTACATGTGCTGGTGTTTTCTTTCATCAGAAGGCTCTCATAAGTGGGGTTTTTTTTTTCTCTTTTTTTGTGATGTGAACAGTTGTTGATGCTCAGTGACCAGACCTATAGTTTGCAGGGGGTTGCAAAATGGTGTTCCTTTAACCTACCATTTGTATTTCATTTAGGAATTGAAATGTACGGGGTCCAGCAAAAATAACACCTCCATTTCATTATAAAACTCCTTTATGACAAAACTCTTTTATTACAAAATCAAAAGCATGTAATTCTGTAACATAACAATGCTTGAGTGTGCTCAAGACACTACATGACGTTTCAGGTGAAATGTTCAAGTTGCTGTCCATCTCGTGTGAGACGCTCATGTGCCCAACCAGCCACACTCAAGCAGGCCTCACTTCCGTTGGGCCTTGTGTTTGGAGACAATCCCTGTCCTCACCATCACATTTTATAGACATTTTCCCCAAAGTCCCTAACAGTACCGCTCACACTAGAAAGGAAGGATAAACACTTCTTTTGCTTTATTTGCCAGTTTTAAAATAATTCATTGCCTTTCTATTATCATCCCAAAGTAGTCAGTTAGCTTTCTTTAAAATGCCATTATGAACTCATGAATTTACACATATCTGATGAGTTTCAGTCTATTTCATTACCTTTTTGAAGTTCAAATTGTCCCAACTTTGACCAGTGGGAACCTCTTCTAGTTGGGTCCTGGGTCCTTTGACATGAACCTAAAGAACCCCCCGCTGACAGCTTCCTCCCTAAGTGGTGTGACGAGGTGTCCCAAACTGTCTCGTACATTTCCAGCCCCAGGCTTGAAATCGGTCATTTCCTTCAGAAGCCCTGGTTTCTTTGGGTGGAAAATAATATTTTATTACCACAATCTGGATGCATAGGAACACTCACTGCTATTGAGTTAATCATTCTTTCTAAGCCTCTTCAGTAGGCACTGATAGAAATACACACATGCACATACACTTACATATATAATTTTCAAATAACATATCTAATGAGTTCATATTGACACTTCAAATTCAGGGCTATAGGATTTTTTGTCTTAATCTCTTCTCTACATAGCTGTCACCTGCTTCTTTCCACACTCTAAGTCCTAATTCTCAAGGACAAAGGGATCGATAGAGTTAAAAGAGCCCATAATTATTCATTCATCTATCCCTCTTTGCACACAGAGCAGCTTCAGAATATCAATTCTAATATGACTACCATTAATATGTTTTATGATCATGGAGAGCAGTTAAAATGGTTTTTTGCCTGCACTTTTCCCATTCCTTATTTAATCACTGCACTATGTTATCTGAGTACACCGCCATTACATACCAGACCCACTTCCCTCTCCCTCTCATTTCACATTCGTCCCGTCAGCGGCTCTGAGATTGATGTTCACCATCGGCCCTAACGAGGGTGTCGGTCTAGTTGACTTGCTGTCTCAAGCTCATTCCCCAGGAAGGGCTCTTGGGAGATATTCTCTGAATTTCTTGCATGTTTCATAACAAACTCTGTGTGCCCTTTATACTTGAAAGTCAATGCTTTTCTGGATATAAAAATTCTGGGCACACAATTTCTTTCCCTAAGTAGCTTAAATATGTTATTAAAAATCCTAATGATAAGCTAATTTTCTTTTTTCATACGTCTATTTTTGCCTAGAAGGTCAAAGGACTTTTTTTTTCCTTTCTTCTGTAAGATTTAGCCATCTAACTGGAATAGGTCTCGGTGTTATCTGTTATACACTGATGCTCTGAGCATGCACTGTGCTCTCCCAGTAGGAGGTTGCAAATACATTACTTACAATTTTAGGAAAGTTTTTAGTATTTGTTCAGTTTCCTTAATTTAGTTTTCTCCTTCAGGGATTTCTATTATTCATACTTGGAACCTTCTTCACCTACCTTCAATATTTTGCTTCTCTCTTGAATTTTTTTTTAAATCTTGAATTTTTTTTAACTTTTTATTTACTTTACATCTTGATTTTTTCCCTCCCTTTCACCTTTCTATTTCTCTTAGACATCAACCTTTTCTTCCCTTTTTCCTTGGTTCATTCTACTTTAGACTTCATTTGTTTAATAATCTTGTCTCTTCCCTGAGTTCTTTTTTCCCATATCTGCATTTTTATTGTTTTTATTTCTGTTGTTCTTTCATGTCTTACATCTTTTTACTAATGCTTCTTAGCTTATTTTGAAATATTATGTTTTGTTTTAATCCTTTTTTTGGCCTGGCTTTCTGGCATGCTTTTGCTATCTGTAAGAATTTGCTTCTATTCCTTGTTCTTTTTTTTTCTTATAATAACTTTGTATGGGAGTTGACCTAGATACATTTCTGTTGCTCATTTTTATATGAGATTAGTTTTCCAAAACTCTTAGAAAAAGAAGTGGTTCAGGGTAGCTTTTCTGAATTCCCAGAGCTCCTGCTTCTGTCATGTCTGTAGTGTCGAAAAGAAGGGAACAGCTTGCTCTCTGAGATTTTCTGAATCCACTCCCCTGCCCATGATTTTTCGTTTTTATTTTTCTTTACATGGCTTCTACCCTGTTCAGTGCTGACCTCAAGCTCAGTGGTTTCCCCTCACTGGGGTCCCCCTCCTACAAAGGAGGCCTGGTGGGTGAGTTCCTGGACTGAGTCGGTGCCAGACCATGCTCACTCTTTAGTGCTTCTCACCTGGAGCTCTGGACTCACCTGTGACTGCAGCAGGCCAAGCCCCCCCGGTCCCAGCTGCTGTTCTTCAGTTGGCCCACCATGCTTTCCAGCTCATACCTCTGAGTTACTTGGGGGTACTCCTATCCTTGGGTTTATCTGACATCCCATTGCTCCTCTTTCTTCCACAGACATTGATAACCCACAAGGTTATGTGGCTGTGTGTAGTCCTACCTTGCCTAATCATAGTTTTGGGGTAGGGGGCCAAGATGGTACCCTGAATACCAGCAACCTTGGTTTGAGTTGTTTTACATGGTGCAGGGTGGGGGGAGTGGGGGAAAGACAGAGAGAGACAGAGATTCAAAGAAATTCCAAAACTCTACTGCCTCTCCCATTATTTTTCTAGAACCGTCCCTTGTGGGGGCTTTAGGTTTACATCAATGTCATCTGTACACACTGCCCTGGAACTTCCACTTTCACTCCACAGGATGTGTTTGAGGTCTCTACACACTAAGTCGTACAGAGCTAGGTCAAGCCTCTTCATTACTCTATAGTTCTTCGCCATATAAATATTCTGCATTTTATTCATCCATCTTCCTATTACTGGACATCCACAATCTATCATAAACCTTACTTTATACTTTCATACCTCTAAGTGAGAGAGAAAAGAGGGGAATATTATGAAGAACAGTCATCCTTACCAAGACTTGTTTTGATTGGTTGTCGTTTCTGTGTGACAGACCACACTGACAGATACCATTTGTACCTTGAGGTTTGTTTTCTCTTTTTAGGCACAGCTGTGTGGTCCAAAATTGAAAGACTGAGTGAAAATCTTATTTCCTAAATAATTCTGTCCTAAAATACTCGCAAAGCATAAGCAACCCACACCAAGATTGCTGGTATTCAAGGGGCCATCTCGGCTCCCTCTGACTCATGACAGGAAATTTCAGCATCTGCAGAGGTACAGTGAGAGGCTGGAAGTCAGTTCCGGGAAAACAGAAGCTGACATTTCACAGGGCGGGGGGGAGCAAAGTGGGCATTTTGATTTTCAGTGGTCAGTCACCTTTGGAACTTGGAGGAATTTCAAAGGATTAAGGAGTCTGTCACTTGGAGTTACTGGCACTGTAATAATTAACACACCCCCCACATGGAAATAAGGTACTCAATTCAGGCGAAAGGCTCTTTCACGTGGCAGAACAGACATAAAGGCAGGTGGGAGTGATTGTTTGTTTCTCTTTTACGGGGATGTTAAACCGCACACAGAATGGTCACGTGAGTTACAGGACAACAAAGACTGCCTCCTAGCTAAGGACGCCTAGAAAAAATAATAATCCTGGGCCACAGTGCCACCTGCTCCCTGTATTGCCTTCTGTCTGGTGAGCTGGGAAAATGGGAGTCAGAGGACATGAAACCGTACAGGTTAACACATTATTTTTTAAATGTTTTAAGCCATATCGCTTGTATCGCCAAAGCTAATCAAGTACAGAAACATAACCAAGAAAGCACAGAAGTGCTCTGAGAACAACGGCGCAGTACATCAGCCAGCCTCTCCTGTGCAGGGCAGAGAATTTTTCTGAATTGTACAAAGCATTTCTGACCTTCAGCTTCACCCACCGCGTTCGCCTCTGGCTCTCGTTAGTAAACACCTTGGAAGGAGCTCAGACTTCTTAACAGAAAAAATGATTAATGAAATCATTCTCACTAGGGGTCAGAGGGCTCACATGCCCTGAGAGTCTTGCTGGAACTTCACCTTCTCGGGTCACCTATGCAGAAATCTTATCTTCGTATGGTAATACAGTAGCAAAACAAGTCATGCAGGCTCCAATGAGCAAAGCATCTCTCCTCTCATTCTGCAGGCTCTGAAAATGTACTTGTTGCCTAGAATAAACTGGGGCGGGTAAAAACTGGTTTACTGTTGTCAATAGGCAAAAACAGTTTACTCTTGTGTTCGTATTTATTAGTTATTACATTATGTTCCATACCAATGACTGTGAACCTCTTTCTGCCTACCCACATACAGCCACGAAGCTGGCTCTGTGGTCAGTTCATCTCACTGTGTTTCAAATTTCTCATCAGTGGCTAGTGTGTATCAGTCCCCGCCTCACCTGAGGTAGAGGAGCACCAAATGAAATGCCTTCAGTACATTGAAATGCACACGACAAGTCACAGTGGCTTTTGCAGTAAAAGATTTTAAACTCTTATTGAACCTCTTACTGTGTCTGGAACATGGGCAGGTCGTCAGCTCCCTAAACCTTAGCACCCGTTCGTACAAAACAAGGATGAAAATGACCACACCCTCCAAAGGGTCTTGGGAGGCAGAAGTGATGGCCAACATGAAGGTGACTTACAATCCAAAATGTTCTAGGTTTCACTTACACACCACACCCCAATGGACACTCCTAATGTAGGATGACTGCACAATTACTCTTTTTTTTAACCCTTGTCCTTGTCCTTGGCAATGGCCACTCTTCCTTTAAATGTTGTTCCACCTCTTTGCCACACTTTGGAAATTACATGCTCCTGTACCTTCTTGGGCACAGGCACAACTTAAATGTGTACATTTTACGTCATGTAGGCTACTGGCAAGATGTTAATGCTGGTCTTTTCTTCGGGGAGGTGTCAGTAACAGTGAGGTGGCCACCTGACTGTGGCTGCCAGGGCCTGTCTGGCCCTTCCCAGAAACTTTGCATATCCATCTCTGCTCCGCACTGTCCAGTGTCAATCTAGAACCTGACTCTCAAAGGGCCGTCTCATGTCACACCATTGTTAGGGCTCCAGGAGCCCTAACACTCTCTCTCTCTTTTTTATTGTTTTGAGAGAGAGAGAAAGGGAGATAGAGAGAAACATCTACGTGAGAGAGAAACATCAACTGGTTGCTTCCTATACACACCCTGACTGGAGAGCAAACCTGCAACCCAGGCATGTGCCCTGACCGGGAATCGTACCCATGACCTTTCAGTTCACAGAACGACGCTCCAGCCTACTGAGCCGCACCAGTCAGGCAGACCCTCCCTCTTAACCGTCACTGAATCCATGTGAGGAAACTGAGAGTTGGCCTGATCCTGCTCAGAGGATGAGGACAACCTTGCTTCCACTGAGCAAAACAAGGTTCTAAAAGTACCCTCGCACACAAACAAACACCTCTTATTTCACCAGAAAGAAAACAAATTTTCTCTGCCTTTCAGGCAGTACTTCAAGTTTACCAAAGAACACCCTAGTGTTGGTTTCTAAATCGCTCTGCTCTTGGCCGAGCTCATTCTACATTAGCAATACATGCATCTCGCTTCCAAAGTCATGTCCCACAGGACACTGAACGCTCCAAACTTCCCAGGTGGGTAGTGAGGGGGACTGCACTCTATGGCTTACCTTTCAGATGAGGAGTTCCTTCCCTGCTGGGTTCCTTCCCTGCAACCCAGCAGGGAAGGAAGCTGGCCAGCCGCAGAGCCGCGAGCCAGAGTCTCTGAGTTGTGACGGCTCAGAGCTTCCGCACGCCCTGCACCACGGCCCCCTAAAAGGAGCACCAAGGGAGAAGAGCGTGTTATTTTTAAACAGTTATATTGAGGTATAATTCACATACCATGCAATTCTCCCACATGAAGTGCGTATATAAGTCAATGGCTTTTACTATATTCACAGAGTGGAGCCTCCCTCAGCACAATCAATTTTAGAACCTTCTCATTACACCTGAAAGGGACCACACCCCTTCTCTGTAACTCCCCAGAGCGTCTTCCTCCCCAATCCCCGAGCAATCACCCATCTACTGTCTGCCTCTGAGTTTGCCTGCTCTGGGCCTTTCAGATAAACAGAATCCTGCAAGACATGGTCTTCTGTGGCTGCTTCTCCCCTCTGCAGGATGCTGGTTATGCCATCCTCATTGTAGCCTGTGCCAGGAGTCCACTGCTCCGTATGCCAAGCAAGATTCTGTTGTGTATGTGAACTGAGTCCATTCTGTCCATGCAGTCATTAGTTAGTGGACATTCAGGATGGCTTTTTGCCACCTCTGGGCTGTTTCGAATACTGCTGCTCTGACCGTTCCTGTCCAAGATCTTGTGCAGACTGAGGTCGGTGTTCAGGTCCCTGGGGGAAGAACCCAGGAACAGAAGTGTTGGCTCACCTGGCACCTCTGTGTTGACCCTTTTGGGGAGCTGCCAGGCTGTTTAACAAAGTGGTGGCTGCCCTTCTTCTCATCCCCCCCACACACAGCAGAGTGTGAGGGCTCCAGTGTGTCCACAGCCTCCTCAACAGGTGTTATTAGCTGTCATTCCAATGATAGCATCTCAATGTCGGTGCAACGTTGTATCTTATCATGGTTTCGGGTTACATTTCTTCAACAGCTGAGCATCTTTTCACGTGCTTACTGGCCATGTGTATATCCTCTTCAGAGAATGTGTTCAGATGCTTTATTGAAATAGCTGCTACAACTCGGTGAAGCCATCTGGGCCTGAGCTTCTCTTTGTGGAAACTTCTGATAACTAACTTAATCTCTTGTTATGTGTCTGTTCAGAGTGTCTATTTATTCTTGAGTCAGTTTCAGCAGTTTGTCTTTCTAGGAATGTTTCCATTTCATCTAAGTCGTTGAATTTGCTGTCACAGCGATATCGATAGTATAATCTCATAGTTGTTGGTTTTTTTTTTAATTTCTGTAAGGTCAAAAGTAACATGGGGATATAGTTTTAAGTTCCTACTTCTAAAGCACAATGTGTTTGAAGTCTTATGCCTTATTGTAAGGAAGTTCTATGACCATACCTCTTTTAATATAAAAGTAATAGTGACATTATTTACCACCGAGTAAAAGCAAAGAACCAGAGAGAGTTCTGTGTATTTATCCTGTTTGCTCACTAACCTACCTCCGTGCAAGGGCAGCCCCATTCGACAGGAGCAGCGTGACAGAAGGAAATCCCAGAGAGGGTTTCCCGCCCCTTCCTCGGACGGCCAATCTGTCCCCGACTACGCAGAGGTCCTGCGTGGAGTTACCAGGGTTCCACAATAAAGCCACAAACCCAAGACGTGGGAGCAGGGAGTTAACACGTTTCACTGTGCACACCAGTCGATGCACAGAACTTTGCCGTCCTCTCCTAACGGGGGAGGGAAGTGTGTGTGCGTGTGTGAGTATGCGCGTGTGCGCACGTGTGTGTCCCCTGCTGTGGACAGCAGGGCCAGGCCCCCCGTGACTGTTAGTCTCCTTCAGCCCTGAAACACCCCCAGCAGAAACCGAGCAGCCACGGTGAAGTCCATTTCCCCCGGGTGAACACCAGAGAAGAATATTTTCAAAAGGGCAGTATCTCAGATTATTGACTTTAAAGCGAGTCCTGTTTCTTTCAACATCAACAACTGAGATCCCCAACATTCAGCTGTGTGCTGCTATAGAAAATAAAACAAAACCTCAGAATTTAACTCTATTTTTAAAATGAACAGGTGATCTTTCGCATGTGCAGGAAACAAACTGGCGTTCTCACAAACCCACAATGGAAATGCTATTTTAATGTTTTAATGGCTACATTACCTGTAACATTTCCCCCAGACCCGTAAATTAATGACTTGAATTAATGATCAGTGAATCACTCAGCTTCAGTTCTGAGTAAAGATGATCCTCATGAACTCATGTGTTAAATTCATCCTAATAAAAAATATTCCATTTCCCCTCTTTGTTTTTCTTAGAAAAAATGTTCTTAAAAGCCACCTGCTACATAGTGGTTCGCACGTTTGGACCGGACATCATAAAACTGTGAGTACGTTGGCACAGGAACTGACTCTGTTGGTGGGACTTGGGGGGCAGAGAACCGGGAGGAGGCCTGCTCTGTCTGCCTCCCCCCAGGGGGTACTTCCGGAATGAGGAGTTGACTGGAGCTCTCCGGGTCTCGTCAACAGCGAAAAATTCAAACCAGGCTCCAGCCCCTCCTCCCTCTGGGCCAAGGCTCCCCTGGACTTGCCATATGGCCGTCTGGCTCAGTTTCTCTCCGAGAGCCTTTCAGGAGTAACTCCACCAACTCCAGCGAACAACTGGGTCCCCTTGGCTGGACACGGGCCTCCAATCCTGTCCCCTGAGCTCCCCAACGTGCCCTGGCCCCTCCCTTCTTTCCCCGCTGGGTGCTCAGGTCACAGTCGTCCCTTTGGTCCTCTCACCCTCTGGTTTCCTGACCCTCTTCACCTCCCGGGCCCCCGCCCTGCCTCTGTACCCCACACCTGCACTGTTCCCATTACCAGTCGGCCCCCTTTTGTTCTTGTAGCTTTTTTCTTTTTCACTAAGGGGCACTGGATCACCTAAATCATATTCCAAGTCTCTTTTAATGCAAAACCAATCATGGTTCTCTCCACCATGAAAGGCCTCACCCCTCTGCAGAATCCCTACCCCCTGATAAGCCTATTTATCAAGGGCCCCTGAGGACACTTCCAGGTGCATCCCTGCCAGCTCCATAGCACATCCCAATCCAAACTGCTTGTCATTCCCTCTCCCCTTGGCAGCCCCCCAGACTGCCACACACACAAATACACACCCCAGAAGGTTTCTGCCTCAGGATCTTGGCATGGATGCCCCCTCTGCTTGGCACTGTCTACCCCAGACAAACCCTGCTGCCTTGCACCTCAGCTCCAGGGTCACTCCCTCTGGAAGCTTTCCTGACCCTCCCCAGGCTAAAGTACTTATAGAAACCCCACCATCACTGCCACCAACACACATGCACACTCACTCGCAGCACCCTGTGCAAACCCCCAGCACCGCATTTACTATCTCTGTTTATAACTGAATTCTTCATTTACTTTTCTGTGTCACCAACCAGATTGAAAGCCATCTGAGGGCTAGGTAGGACTACATTTTATTCCTCTTTGAATTTCTAGGTACTTAGCAAAATACTAAATATTTGGGAGGAGAGAGAGGGAAGGTAAGGGCTTCGTACAATACTTGAGCATAGAAGGTCTTCAATAAATATTTATATAGTAAATTAATTATTAAAAAACCACAAAGTTATCACTACAGGTGAGCTATGAGTAGACTGTTTCGAAGAGAATTACTCAAACATGTTTTTTTTTAAAAAACACCTTTGAGCCTATTCAGTGAATCTGTTTACATACCCAGCATGAGCCAGCTACTCTGGGGGAAATGTCAGCTTGGCCAGAGAGGGTCCGCTGGGACCCAGAGAGGTAAATGGAAAACAGTCACAGAGGCCAAAGAGGGCAGTACCGAACAGTCACAGAGGCCAGATGTCCAAAAGGGGGTGCCCGAGAGTGGCTGCAAAGCATTCTGGGAGTAAAAGGGAAATGGCCTGTGTTCATTCAGAAACCCTCCAATCTCCGCAGCTGGCTGGAGAATGAGAGTGTGAGGGCCAGCTAAGCATGAGGACGGGAGAGAAGACAGACCGACGCTGTACTCAGTACTGCACATGGAGACGGTCTAAGGGATGGTCCCCAAATAACTACAAGTGGACATGGGACTTTGGGAAAGAATGGGCCCAGCAAGCCACCAGCAAAGGGTCCCTCCCAAGCAGGTGGTGGGAAGGGGAGGAAACATTTTTCTTTGAGATGATTCAAAGTCATGAGATGACAATTCTCATGAGTCTGGGGTGGGCTGCCTTGAAGAAGACGGATGTAATCAATGATCCCGCTTTGTGGTTCTGTCCACCGCTTTCCAACACCCCTATTAGTAGTTTGCTGATTGAAATTTCTCCTCTTATGTGTGCTCTTCTGGCAAGGTGTTTTAATCAATAAGAATCAGTTCTTGCCCTGACCAGTGTGGCTCAGTGGGTCAGGTATCATCCCACAAAACAGAAGTCACACGTTTGATTCCTGGTCAGTCCATGCCTGGGTTGCTGGCCCGGTCCCTGGCTGGGGTGCATACCAGAGGCAACAGGCCGATTCTTCTCTCCATCTCTTTCTCCCTCCCTCCCCCTCTTTAAAAATAATAAGTAAAATCTGTCAAAAAATCAGACACAGTTTTGGGTTGAAGTGGGTCCTGGAAATAACAGCCTCATGATTTAGTTTTACCTAAACTTTGGGCTTCCAATACTGTGTTTTCCTCACCTGAAAGCATCATTCCTCCTCATTATTCCCCACCAGTCAATTCTCAATGATTCATGGACTAATTATTCAGCAATTATATTTCTTACCCGCAGGTAAGCCACAGGTGTTCTTAGGAAGTGAGGTACCTGGGCATTCAGGTTTATCACCACAAGAAGCTGAGTCATGCAGGGAGGACCACCTCAAAGAGCATCCGATCCAAGTCAGGGACCACACGCTGGGTCTTCCTATACTTGGGCTGGACCTCCACTGTGCCACAGGTTGCCATGGCAAACCCCATCCGTCTTTGGTTCGTTGTATCACACTTCCTGGAATCTACTTATGCTTCCTGCCAAATCACAAACATTTGTATTCTGAACCTGGGAGCTCTCAGAGGTCAGGAGAAGCCTCGGCTGCTAACATTTTCAGAAGAAAAATGCAAAATGGGATTTCTAACCATTACAATACCCTCGAAAGGTAATTAATGATGTTTTAGACTGCAAAAATGCAAAGCAGTACAACCATGCCATTCACATGATAATTACAGGATTTATAGGAATGCTTAAGTCCATAGTGTGCTCTAAGGATCGAGGTCTGGAAAGGGGATGAAAGTAGAAAGTTGCAAGAGGAAAAACTTCTATCACTGGTGTGAGTGTATCTCTGCGACTATCATTTATACTAATATATAAAACCTCCTTTGAAAGTGATGTCAAAGGTCTAAATTTGCCCTGGCCAGGTGGCCCGGCTGACCGGAGCATCGTCCCGTGCACCGGAAGGTTGCAGGTGGGATCCCCGTCCGGGCAACCTGCCTACGTTGTGGGTTCTATCCCTGATTGGGGTGCATTCGGGAAGCAACCGATTGATGTTTCTCTCTCTCTCCTTTCCTTTTCCTCTAAAATCAATAAACATATCCTCTGGTGAGGATCTGAAAAATAAAAATAAAACAAAAAGGTCTAAATTTGATAGCTCTCAGGTGTGAAAAGCTGTTCCTCTGTCTGCTAACTTAACCCCGACCTAGATCCCTTCTTTTGGTTTATGATCATCATCATTGACTTCATTCCACTGTACTCTTAATTAAAGTTGCTAATTAGCTCCATCAAATGTGTAGAAGTCTGCCCCTCCCCACATGCCTCACTCCTGCATACCTCTGTCTTTGTAAAGGCAGCAAATTAAATCATGACCCTTTGGGTCCTGTTTGCCGCTCTGGGACAAAGACAATGACATTGGGTGGGAACGGTTATTATGTGTTTGGAGATTTCGTAAGGATTTCACAAATGGTGTGTAGCTTCGGCTTTCTGTCCCAAGCTTGGCCAAGAGCACACGGGCCGCACTGTATCTTATACATTCTCGAATGATCTTTCCTGGGTTTAGGAGGCTTCGCGTGTTCAATTCTGTCCAAAGGAGTACTTCTTTTACTCTCTGACAGTGAAGCTCTAGTCTTAGAGGACCCTGGGAGGGACACCAGGTGCCCAATCCCCTCTCTCATTCCTCAGCTCAGAGGATGCCAGCCTCACTCTCTGACCGAAGGGCCTCATTTCCACTCCCGTATTCAAGTTCACTTACTTGACAGTGTGCTCTCTTTGGGGAGGGAGGGAAGAGAGCAGGTTTTGGGCACCGTCTGCTAGGTTGGCTCTGGTGGTCCTGGACTGCCACAGACTGGATATTGACTATAGATATAAATAAAGGAAGAATAAATACACAAATAAGAAAGCAAGGTTAAACAGAACACATTTATTCACCACCCTCCCAAGTCCACTGAATACTGGACCCCTGTAAGACAGAAGCCATCGGTTAAACAAATGGACCCTTCAGTGGAGGACAGATGTGTGAAAACAGCCACCCTCTCCCGACTCAGGGGCTCTTGATAGACATCAGTCTGGTAACGGGCCTTTTATCTGACACTCAGTCTGTTCCACAGCTTGGAAGACGGGTCCTCTTTATGCTGTAAGTCCCTTTCTCTCCACCTGCCAGGAAGGAATCCTGGGGCCAAGCAGATGACCCAGCGGACAAGCTCTCTCTTCCCCTCTTACTTCGGGTGCTCACAAAATGCTGAGAAGCCATCTTGTTGGTCACACTGTTGGTCTCGCTCAGCTGGGGTGAAATTTGGGAGTCTGTGCTCCCAGCCTATGTTCCGCATGGCAGTGACCATCAGAATATTTGAAGGTCTCCGAGGTGGCCCCTCTTTCTCTGGTGGCCTTTGATAGGGTATGTTTTCATCAACATGAGGCAGTCCTTTCTGCAGAAAGTTTCATGACACAAATTCTCACGGTCCCTCCCGGAACATTCTGGTTGGTAGTTCAAAGATCAGAGTGTTAAAGATTTTAAATGACATGTTGATGTGCGGAGACCATTAAAACAACTCCTTACTCACTAAAGTGAAACCAGAGTGCCATGCCTTTTTGTTGCCATCTTGGTTTTCTCTTACCTTTCCAAAGCTCATTCGTTATTCTGCACATCCAGGAAGTAAACAGGGCGGGGGTGGAGTTGGGGAGCAGCTCCTGTGACTGACAGCTGGGTCCAAGTCCCAGGGAGCCGGCTGGCCTGTAGTTCTCAGGGGTGGCCCCATGTATGGGCTGTGACTGCCACCAGTCAAAACAAAACAAATAAAAAATAACAACAGAAACAACATGGCCTTGCTTGTGAAGAAGAAGGAGGAATAGGAGGCGGAGGGTCAGGGGGAGAAGAAAATGGTAGTGACTGCAAGAGTGGTAGACATGGTCACTGTGAAAGTGGGGAGGGGTGGACTCATTATACGGGAACCACAGCACATTGTGGAACTCACGGGCCAGAGACTATCCAGGCCTTGGACAGAGATGAGAAACAGGACTGGGAGGCCACCAGCAACACAGGGCCCCCTGCTCCCCAGGCTTCCCATCTGCACACACTGGGCTCTCTCTCCTGAATCATCCCTACAGACTGGCTTTCTAAATGCTCAGGCCACGTGGCGGGGAATGACCTTACCGTCTCCAGTCACCACGCTCCTCCCATTATTCTGGAAAGAGCCCAGAATGAAGTCACACTTATTCATACCAGCTGCAAATTTCCGGAAAAGAGTCTGAATGAATAGTAGTCTAATGAAGTCCAGTCAACTGGCAGGGAGTTAGGAAATATAAACACAGTTGCTAGTCACCCACCCCTGTGAATGAAGGGGGACCATTACCTGATCATATGAGCTGGGAAAAAGCCCAAAATTATCTTCTAGAATCTATAACTGTCCTTGCAATTACTCTTTGTTTGTGTTGTTTTGGTGTGGTTTGAGTTGGGTCTGAATGAATAATTTACTTGGAAAATCACTACAAGTCCACACTTTCCTGTTTCTTCATCTGAAGCAGCACATTATACTCATTCTTCTTGGTAAGAAGAGGTGTCAGTTAGAAAATGGATATGGAAGGTTTCTTTTAGCCCCTTCAAACCTAAACATAAACCAGAATGTTTGGAGAATACAATTCTTACACCATCCCCAGGGGAAAAAGCCAACTCAATTATATTTTCTTCCCTAAGGTAAAGAAATACTTACTTTAAAGGGAAAAGATGATTTGGATTATGCCTAAGAAGATAATTTTAAGAGTTTAAGGCTATATCATAAATGATTTTCTGCTATAAGGCCCAGTAGACTTTAGAGTATTTTTCCCATGAAATCACACGCCTGTCCATTTTCCTTTCCCGGTTTTATTTGTGGTTCCTACTGAAAAGACTCCCCTGCCCCTGTAGGAAGCTGACACAACCCTGGCCGTTTGAGCCCCCTCCCTGCCCCCAAGATCTTATTCTAAATGTAGGTGAGAGCAAGGTAGCAGGAAATCGTTAGAATCCAGCATCTGCAGAACTGAACTCAGAGGCTATGGTGCAATGAGTGAGGGTATTAGAATCCATCCTTGGACGTACCTGTCTTTGAAATAGCTTCTATTTTTCTAATGCCTCCGAGATCTTAATAGCTTTTGTTTTGCCCCATTTCCCTCCAGGCTTGATGCTGATATGAATGCTGATGTGGTGTGCCACACCCTGAAGTTTTGTCAACAGGAGCCTGGACAAGCCCTGTGTCACCTCTACCCCCTTCCCAAGGTGAGTGGGTTTTCACTCAGAAAGTCAGATGATGGTGACATGCAAGCTCTTTGGAAATGTTGTAAAGGGGCACTCTGCTTCACTCAGCGATTCGGGGACAGAAAGAGGCAGGATGACATTTTCAATTACACCGGGGAAATAATATTCCCAGTTTCCACCCAGATCCCTCCCCCCCCCCCCCCCCCGCACTGCCAAAGGATGCCTTTCCTGTTGAACTACTGTGCTGGGCTGGCAATTGGTAAGAAATCTGATCAGCCAAGGAAAGAAGAGGTTTAAATCCTTCTACTGATTAAAAATCAAAACAAGTCACTTTTTTTTAAATAATGAAGCATTTTAGACATTTATTAAGATTATGAATCCGGAGCAAAGATGCCATCAGTCATATCATATGAATATTTACCAAATTAAATGCACTTTATTTTTTATTTTATTTTTTTTATTAAATTTTATTTAGTTACTTTTCAAGTACATTTTTTTTCTCTTCCCCCCCCCGCCCGGTCTCCCCCCTCCCTCCCATTCCCCCCCCCAGTCCTCATCTCTGTGTCTTTCATACTTGTTCCTCAAAATCCCTCCCCCTTTTTCCCCTTAAGTTCCCTTCCCTCTCCCCTCTGGTCGCTGCCCACTTGTTCTCTATTTCAGCGTCTTTATTTTTATTCTGTTTGCTTGTTTGTTTTATTCTTTAGCTTCCTGTCAAAGGTGAGATCATATGGTATTTGTCCTTCAATGCCTGGCCTATTTCACTCAGCATAAAACAAGTCACTTTTATACGGTGACTAACTCACCCCAGTTTGCCCAGGACTTTCTTGGTACAAGCACATCCTGGGGACACGTGGGCGGTTGGTCCCCCTAGTCTAAGCTCTATTGTTCTTTCCCAGAATAGGAGTATAATAAAATACCTAAAATCCCTCCCTCAAAATTAATTATGGGAAGTAGGTGAGCTAAAACACTTCAAATGTTTACCACAATGCTTGCCACATTTAAAAGAAGTGTTGATAAAAATGATGACTCATGTGAGTATCATCAATATCATTGTTATTCAGACAGCTGCTCAGAATACCCTGTGTGCATTACACCGTGTTGGACAGTTTTTAATTGGAACACAGGCAGCAGGAAGCTGCAGGAATGCAGGCAGGATGCCCTTTCCATGCTCCTAATAACCGCAGCACGGTAAACCCAGTTAGGCCTCGCAATACAAATTTTCAGAAGCTTCCTGTAAAAAAAGAAATTGCAGAATAAAATTCTCTACCTCCTTTCCCAGATCCTAGTTTTTCTGCACATACACAACAGGTGTCTGTTCTGTTTGCAGTTTCCTTTGTAGTCTCACTGAAATGAAGTCTGTTTAGCACTTTGGGGCCTACCCAACACACAGGATTCTGCTGACTGACTGTAGTAAGCAGCAGAGAGAAACGTCCAAGGGCCTGGGTGGCTGTTCCATTTCCCCTGATTTCACCTGAGAAACTGTGGGCTCCTCTGGTTTCTAGAAGAGATAATTAATTACAATTTTTAAAAAACATACTTTGTGTTCACCTAGCACTGAAGACTGCATAGTGATGTTCACTATCTGAGAAAAGGGCAAAGGCCATTCGTCTGCACAAAGGCAAGGGGCGGGTGTCTGAGATTTCCTTACAGAACACCGTGTCTTATAAACGTCACACTTGCCACAGCACAGAGTCCCAAATGTTCACTCTAAAAAACGTATCTTTATATTCTGTCGAGTTCATGCTCAAAATATCCTTTTCGTGGCACACTAATTACACCTACAAAGCAGGTGTGAACTAGCAGGTAGAATCACCTGCCTACTAAAGGTGGGTAAAGATACAGATGAAAATAATTTCCCCCGCCGAAAGCCTTCTTCATGACCCTCCCTGTCCAGCCCCGCCATGTAGCCACTGCCCTGTGATCTACCACCACCCATGAGCACATTTATGCACAGTTCCGTTCTTGAACTTCACATAAATGGAATCACACACACCTCCGTTGTGTCTGGCTTCCCTTGTCTGTGAGACTCACCAAGTTTTTTGTGTAATGGTATCGTTGCAGGAAGTAGTCACAAAACATATCTCCCTCTCTCTCTCTCCTTCTCTTTGGAGGTTTGAACTATATATTTAAATTTACCCTTTTTTATCCAATGTGTTGGGGTGCCATTGGTTAATAAGATCACATAGGTTTCGTTTCCATGACACATGGCCTGCATATCACCTTCAGTGCCCGCCACCCAAAGTCAAACCATCTTTTGATGCAACTCCTGCTATAAGATCCCAGTTAGTCCAACCCAATCCTCTGTTGCCCTGTTCCCAGTACATTTCCCACACTGACGCCAGCAACGCCTTTCTAGAAGACAAAGATGACCCTGTCACCCCGCCCCCATGCAATGTCTCCCTTATCCTTCAGCTGGGCTGACTCCTCATCCTCTAGGTCTCGGCACACAGGTCCCTTCTGCAGGGAAGCCATCCCTGACCCCTTCCTCTCACCCCTCTTGCTGACGCACCAGCAGCCCCCTTCAGTGAACCCACCTTGTTTTAAGTGACAGAGTGGGAGTGCCCGTCTGTCTATTCCTCCCACTGGGCTCTAACCTCCCAGGGGACAGGCTCTGTCCTGTGCACCACTGTACCCCCGATGCCTGGGGCAGGCCCTCCCACATAACACAGAAGTGTTTGTCACATAGATAAATGAAGAACCACTGGCTTCTCATTTGCATCACTGATGGAAATTCAGATGCTCCTTACTTCATGGCTACGCTAATTTTCCCAGTGAATACCTCTAATCAGATTATTCCCCCAGCTGTGATCTCCACATTGCCTACACGGTTAAGCAGACATTTTCAAAGTTAGCACTTTAAGATTCTCGAAAAGCCTTCCTGGACTTCCACTAGTAACCTCGGGGGCTCCACACTGTAGCCAAAAAAAGAGATGGACTCCCGCCTGAGCCCACCTCAACCTTCCCACCTCCGCACCTTTGTTCTCCGTCACTCTTTAAACCCAGAAGTCCCTTCAACACCAGGCTCCTTCCACCTCCTGTCGCTATCTCCTTCTCTGTAAAATAATTCCTAGTTTCTGTCACAAAATATCAACCCTCCTCTCAACCATCCTCATAAGATGACCTTTTGAGTCTGCACTGTGCCGGTGCTGTTCTAAATGTTTCACATAGTCATCACTTGATCCCGTGAAGTAGACATTGTTGTCCCATGTTACGGGTGAGGAAAGTGAGGACCAGGGTGTGAGACATGAGTCTACACAGACTTTCTAACCAGGATGCAGGCCTGTGGGGCGGCAGTTCTGCATCTGGCCTGCCTTTGGCGCCTCCTCCTTGCCAGGCGCACACCTGGTACTCAGATCCCATCCCAGGCACAGACGTGCCATGCACAGTCTCTGCGACAGTGCCCTGGGGTGTGTTTATTGTCCAGACGAGGACATCGAGATGAGGAGAAGTCACAGGGTTTGCCCAGGGTGCCCAGCTAGTAAGTGGGGACAGGGGACCCAGCCCCAGCTCTGTCATTAAGCCCAAGTTCTTACCTCACTTCACTGATACTCCCAGGCTGTTGTTACTTTGAATCAAACTGCCACTGCTGCTGGACCAGCTAATTCCTCACAATTAGGACAGACCCAGCAGTGAGAGCTACAGGGGTCAGGCCCCAGGGGGGCTGGACATGAGAGGGGGTACCGCATTTCGGGGCCACGGTGACCCAGCTATTCATTATCTACATATCAGTCAAAAACCTCAGGCCCACTTCTTGCCCATCCTTTAACTGTTTCCATACCTCATCCACCATGAGTTAAAAAGACAAACTCCGTCCCTGATTAAGCAAATCAAGAAAAAATCTGCGGTGTTCAGCTGACACCAGGAGGGAGGGAAAGGAGAAGGGAGAGGAAGAGAGAGGTGGGGAGGGGAGGAAAACAGACTGGACTAACTGCAACTGCATTGTAAACGACACCCAGAGGGTTTTGTGTTACCATTTGGGGGAATTTAGACCATTCCTCCTCTTATTTGCACACAACACAAGGGCTTGCCTGCTACTGGTATGTGGGGGGCGGGGAGGCGGTGCATCTGCATTAGCATGATTGAGACACCACAGCCTGTCAACTGCAAATTGAACGTGTGCCCTGTTGTTCCCTCGTGTGCACACTATCGCTGTGTAAACCTCTCTTTTGAGATGAGAGTGTCACCGTGCATGAACCCGATTGGACCAGGAGGAGCCTGGAGCCCCTCGGCTTTATGCGGCTCCCTCCCAGGTCTAACTTCCAGACCACCAGGCAGACCCTGCCGCTTTGAGCGGACCCTCTCTCCAACCACCCCTGAGTTGCAGGGACCGGCTGCATCTGCAGACATCGCAAAGGCATACTCAACACCTACTTCCCACCCACCTTGATCCCCATTAAAACAATATTACGTGCAGAATGTGTGCTCTAGTGAAGCTAGATTCTCCCTATTTTGCTGGGGCCTCCATCCTATTTAAACCACTGTGAGGGAGACCCGCCGCTTCGGGAAGGCCATCCAGGCTTCGGAGCTGTTTCTGTGTTCCTGCAGGAGCCAGAGGCCCAAACACGCTGAGTGGGCAAGAGCGCATGCGTGCGCAGGGAATTCCTGCTTCTTGGGAATCCAGGCGAACAAGAAGCTACAGTCCTGAGTTTGGGAAGGAGTTAAGTGTACACTGTTTTTATGAGGAGGTGACCCACGACAAATTCTTGTTATTCAACTCAGAAATAAACAAGCTGGCATCAGGGGCTTCAGGTCTTGATCCAGGTCTCATACGTGGGGAGTCAACCTGAACTCAACCCAGGGCTCCGAACTTGACCAGTCCAGCCCTTCGCATCAGCACCCCTATGTCTGGGGTAGATTCCGGCGCACATTCAGAGATCCCGGCTGCCTCTTATACATTGTGCCTCCACAGAACTCTTCAGAAGTCATTAGACAAGAAATTATCATAGAAACAGAAAGGCTTACATATCAGAAACCAGCACATTAAATTGCTCCCTAAAGACCTGAAGGCTTAAAACTCCAAT